CTAGAAGTCGTTCAAAAGTGCAACTACCTAGGTAGTTGTACCAGCGTAGCTGAAGTTGAAGATGAGGTCATAAACCGTATAGCAAAAGCTCGGGGCGCTTTTGCTAACCTTCGCCACTTATGGCGCTATTAACGACATCACTCGCTCTTTGAAGTGTACAGTGTACAATGCAGCTGTACTTTTGATCACACTGTGCGGTTGTGAAGTCTGGTCCATAAGATCAGCAGACATGAAAAGGCTAGTTAGGTTCGACCACTGGTGAATTCGCAGTTTGGCTCATATCTGGTGGAAACACCATGTGAGCAATCAATGTGTTACACGCCCTCTTTACAGTGCAGAAAGAAGAAGCGAACCGCTCAGCACCAGGCTACGATGGCTGGGCCACGTGTTGCGCAGCCAGCATAGCGACTCCCGCGACCTGCGTTATTTACGCACCGGGGGTGCGCATGGAAGAAGAAGGGGGATGACAAAGCGATGACTTGGTCAAGAGGAATGAAGGCCCTTACTTCGAGGTTGGTCTCAGATGGAGCCTCTCGACACCCTGGTTGGGGATTGAAGGACGATGAACACGTTTGGCTGGATACACTTGTTGACACGGCTAGGAGCCAACCACAATGACGTTTGTGTTGTGAGTTTCTTTGTTCCTCCCCTCCCGCCTAGCTGCCCTCTTTATTAGGCATAATATAACTTTTCTGCGGCACAACAGCCAGCTGTTAGCTCTCCGGAACGATGTTCATCCGTTACTGGTGACTCAGCAGGAGTCTCCGTTGCAAGTATTTTCTTTCCCTTTGTATCACGGCACAACAGCTGAGGTGTTTCCCACCTGCAGCTAACGTGTACAACGATGATGGTGCGGAGTAGGTGAAAGAGCTTGCGATAAGTGCCTGCTGTTCATGCCTCTACCATTGCTTGAGCCCGACTGGTCTACCAAGCTTCCTTGTCATCGCGCAGGCTCCACTTCACTTTGCGTCTAATAGTCAGTCTGCTCACCTTGTGTTCAGAGCCAGCAGCTAGGTTTCCTCTGGATTACAACAGGTTCATTGACCTCTCGGCTATCCAGTGACTGGTGCGGTGAGGACTGATGGTGTCGCAAGCAGAGGCTCCCGCATTGTGCATGGAGGGCGAAATACCATTCCATTGAACCTAAGTGTTACTAGGACAAGAAATCGAAATTTCGGAATGCAGGGCAGCCTGATAGGACTGTCTGACCGAAGGCTCAGTTGTCAATGGAGGGTGACGCTTGGTACGCCACCCGGTAAAGTTCATAGAAAAACGAAAGTGTGCCAAGGCATGATCAGTGCTGAATACGCTCAGACTTGAGAATACGCGCATGACCAGCGCAAGTGCGCGCGTGCATTGCCTACATGTCTTTTGAATACTGACGACCAAACCATTTGTTAGAATATACGGCTCTTAACAGTTGGTGGGCTTTGTTGTGCTTTGGCTTGTGGCCTAGTTTGTTTACGGGGATATAACAAATGGCGTCGTGGATGTGAACCGTTACAATGGCACTTCATATGCCACCTCCTGAAGTCTTTTGGTTCGATTCAAGTATCAATCCTCGTTACACAAAACTAAGTGGGGAACTACGCACGAACATGCGGCCATCGACGGTTGCCTTATGCGAGGACCCAGGTTCGTGGCTCCACCTGAATTGACATCAAAACACATCCAATGCGCACATGAAGGACATGTTGGCATCGTGAGGACGAAGCGCAGGAGCCGAGTATGTCCGAATATGTCAAAATGGCGGAAGCGTGTGTTTGTTTAAGTGATGTGTGTCAGAAAGCCGACAAGAGCTCGAAACCGACTGGTACACCAGTCCAGCCGATCGTTTATCCAATCGAACACTGGTCCAAACTGGCGATCAAAAATATGGCATCGTTTTACTCTGTACCACAACGTCAGAGGAAATATTTGGTGGTCATCTGTTTTTACAGCAAATGGCGTGAGATTCACCTTTATAGTGATGTGAACACATCAACAGTTATACGGTGGTTAAAGCATCTGTATGCTAGATTGGGGTTCCCTGAGAAAATTGTGACAGATAGTGGACCACAATTTACAAATTAGGAAATCCGTCAATTCTTACAACTTCGTGATATAGAACATGTACGAACTGTTCCGTACAACCACGGGGCCAAGGGCATGATTGAACGCACAAACCGCTCGCTAAAGGAAAGTATAAAGGTGACACGTTTGTCCGGTATGCAATGGGAAGTTGCAGTGATTCAGCCTCTGTTTACACACAGAGAACAACGCAGTACAGAGCTACCGATCGCACATCAAGGGAGCTTATGTTTGGCAAGACATTGAGGACGAAATTGAACGCAGCGGTATCAGCCCCGAAAACAACTATCCCCACCAGCGTGAGCGTCGCCGATGGTATCAGTCCACGTATAGAAAGTTGGCCTTATCACTGCGTCCAGGGATGTTCGTCCGGCTATGAGAAAGGTAAGGGCAACCGACACTATCTCGCCACGTCAGCATTGCTTGGACGTTAGGACAAGGAACGTAACAGCTTGCGGATGGCAGAATTGTTAACGGCAGATAATCGTAAACGTCAGTGAAACCTAATGAGGTGTCAACGGCATGAAACGCTGTCAAAAAAGCGTACTCACAGACGACGTGTTCACTTAAAGAGAAGGATAGTAAGGTAGACGCTCAGCCTTGAGAATACGCGCGTGACGCGCGCGAGTGCATTGCCTACACGTCTGCTGAATACTGACGACCAAACTATTTATTAGAATACACGAACTTAACAGTTGGTGGGGTTTGTTGTGCTCTAGCTTGAGGCCTAGTGTGCTTACAGGGATACAACTATCAGAGTCGAGGCAAGCAGTCCAGAACGAATGGCAAACCAGGATGGAACCACGCCATCTGTAACTTTGGCTATGTGGTCAATTTGGGTCCATCGCTGGCCAGCCACAGGAGGACGCCAAGTGGCACTTCGGCGCCCACTGTGTCTAAAAGCAGTGCTACTAAGAAACAACTGGTGCCCCGCACACAGTTGCAAAAGGCACTCGGAGTTGTCCGTCCGTTCAGAGTTAAGCCCATAATTACGAACTAGCTGAGCTTCTGAAGAGACCAGGCGACCAACTTGTATATTCATCTCCCCCACAAGTACTAGAATATCGGAACTAATAGCACTGCGTAGTGGCGCGTTCAGTTCGTGATAAAATGTGTCCTAGAACTGTAGTCGGTGGGAGAATAAGCGGAAATCACAAAAAACAGCGTTTTGTATGACTTGGTGAACCAACTTTAGTTGATGTCGTCAAACGGGTTGTTCACCGGAATCCAATCAACCAACGATAACTGAGCCTTGGAGCTGAGAGAACGATACCTACCCCAGCTTGACCAGAGGCTACCGCATCATCTCCGGATGCATGTAAATAATAGTGAGAGGACAAGTCGGGTGCAGTTGCTTTAATAATCACGTGCTAGTTATCGATCCTAGTTCCGGACACGCAACACACGTCAACACCTGTTGTGTCCAACGTGCGTGCGAGTGCAGTCTGCTGACCTATTTTTCTTAGAGTGCGAATGTTGGAAGCCACAGTGGAAACGGGACAATGTGGCCTTATCATGGACTGTCGCCGATAAGTGTCTTGTGGGTCGTGCGGGAAGGCAGCTGCGGACGGTTCGACTCCATTGGGATTACGGCTTTTGTCAATTAGACTGGGTATTATAGGTTAGTAATGAGGGTGGGGAGGGGAGTAAGAGCAAAAGGTGGAAAACAAGGAAGGGAGGCGCCAGCAGTAGCGTGTTTTCGCTTATCCACCCTGTTGTATGCAGCAGATAAGGCGACCCTTGATGTAGAGTTTGAGGAAAATGTCATGGTTGTACGTGGGTTGAGATACTGTCATGGTGCGCAGACCTAGAAAGAATAAAGATTAAGGTCCCCAACCAAAGCCTTTGGCTCAAAAGCCTGTCCGTAAAGAAGCGGAGAGATGGCAATGATTTAGTTTTACAGAAATGGACGCAATTCAATTTCAAATCCCCAACCTGGAGGACCACGAGAGTGAGTTTGTATGACTTCTAACAATCGACCAACCTGATAGGAGCTCTGGAGGGGCCCGCGGTCACCACCCAGTACAGCTCAATGGGTCAGAGATACGCACCTCGTTAAGGACCAGTCTGATTACGACAGATCGAGATAGATCATTTTCTGTTGTTGTTACTTGGGCATATGCGTAGAATGCTCAGAAATCAAGGCACCATAGCGGATCCATCGTGCAGATAAGCAAATGATGCATTGCCAACTGAAGACAAGACTCAAATAATGGACCACACGCACCAGTGGGATCAATCGAAACGTAATGAGGCAATTTCAAGGTGCTCATGACAATTTAGTTACATTCAAGTAGCTTTTGACAAACGTTAAGCACTCAGTTGAGTCTCAAATCAGGGTTACAATGTTTGCATGAGAAACGCAACAACAAGTAGGTTGGGAAAACGCGATTTAAAGTCAGTAAGTGGAGATTGTTGATTTTTGCGCTTGTTTCTTCAGACATAATTTAACGCTACGTTTTATCAACCTTAGTGCCGTTTAGGAGCTACTGTTTCTGACTAATGATCACAGTTTCCCCTGCCTTTAACGCCAACAATTGTCAAGCATCGACTGCGGAGCTGAATGGAACTAAACTCGATCGCTTTTTGCCGGATCGGTTCAGTGCGACGGCTGATGTTAAGATGTGCCCGTCTCTCAGCAGTTTTCACACGTAAAGTATCGTTGTCAAATGAATGAGTGGAAGCATCCGAGGAGCCAACACAACGCAAACTTGTGTGAACCATGAACGCCGCCTGCGATTTCCTAGGGTTGGCTTTGTCCTATGAAACAGTGAAATGGCATGAATATTCTGGGGCACAGGTGAGTCCCGGTGACGGGGAAAGCATTGCTGACTGTGTGTTTGTGAGTGTAGTTGATGTGGAAGAGGTCCCATCCAGTAAGACTGAAACGAGTGATTCACACGACGATATGCTCCGCGGGACGGACTTACCTGGTTGACCAAGTGGAACAAATGATGTAGTTGAGGCTGAATAAATCGGCTAGAGGCGACATCCGTGATCAGAGTGAGCACATTATCCATCGCAGCGCCTGGTTGATTTGTGGTTCGATTCCAAACAGTCGTAATATCTTCCGGAGTTATGCGTTCCCCCAGCAGTCGGAACAATTGTCCTAATGTGGTCATGTAGGCTGTGTTATCCAAGTTATCTGTTGGAGTTAGTGTGAAGTGAAAAAGAGTTGGCGAGTGCATGTGCAGAACGAATGAGGAGTGAAAACAGCCAAATGATGCGTTCAATCGAGTGTTTCAACCGAAAGAGTTAGAAGGCAACGAGCTCAGTGGTAGGACGTCAGAGGCAAAATATAAAGAGCGGAACGATAATTAATACGTTAATGTCCAAGAGCGACAATTGATGCAGCTAGGCAGAGAATGTTCTACTCGCTGCTTCTAATCAGTATCAGTATCACACAGTCTAGAACGACAGACCCAAACTAATAACACCGACTGTTATAGGAGTAAAAGAGGACCTGAGCACCGAGGTTCAACAAATCCAATTGCGTTGAATCGCACGGTCGGAAGAAAACGGTTAACAGTAAACAGTGATGGTGGTGAAGAGAATGTGTATATGCTGAAAAAGTTAGACAAAAACAGATGTAAAATTATAGTTCTGAAGTGAAAAGTTGACGAACATGACCTACTGGTTTTGATACCAATCCGCTACACAACACTGTACCACTGATACCACCATAAGCGGTGACGAAACGTTGCCAACAAAACTGCTATGCTAAGCGAACAGCCTGTCCACCTAGAGTCTGAAACAACTGATGTGACTGCTGACCCAGCTGGAGAGACAATAATCCAGCCAATCTACCCACCACAACATGTCGTCGGATAAACGTCTTTGGAAATCAACACATATCGAGACAGACGATTGGAGAGGGAAACCCAGCTGTCATGCAGTGAGGTACCATTAGCTATGTCGCCGAATGTTAACCTTTACGGACACCAGCAGTGCTCCAGGACCTGGTGGGTTTTCGCCTGGCGAGCGTTCTCCCTATAAAAAGCCACACGTATGCGTTTAACAACACTGCGACGTGGCGGATATGACTCGCCACTAAATAAAGTCACTGCCCCTCGTTTCACTTTGGTGAAGCATTGTATCCCAGCATATTGTTACTGAAATGGTGGGGAAGATTGGGCAACTGTCTGGCTACTCACCAAACGAAAGTCGTATGAACTGAACAATCAGTCATCGACTCCCAGTGGGTGCGAATCCCTGACTTCGCTCCGCTGCCTTACGGGTGGGCTGTTGAACCAAAGGTTCGGGGTGGAGTCTCCTAAGACAATTCTCTACTTCGGTTTGGGAAATCGGGTAGTATCGTGCCTGCTGTTAAAACCATGGATATCGCACTTACCACTACGTCGCTTACTTCCGCTACTACATTCGCTGCTACGCATGCTTCACCATCACACGACAACTTTTCTCTTGTTGATAATATACAACCTGTTGAATCTACTTCCAATGCCCGTCTCCCTGGTATCCAAATCATCCAGCCATCAGCTATCCTTCGACCCCGGAACTGATTCCGTCTGGCAGTGTTCAATGTTCGGACCCTCCTACAGATTGGACAACAGACTGGCCTGGCGCGCACTCTAGACTCTCTCGCTATCGATGTTTGTTGTCTTTCAGAGACTCGACTACAGGATCCCAGCACAGTGGTTAAGTTGTCATCCCCAGCTGCTCTGAAACCACATATTAACTACGCCTGTCTAGTGACATGGAAGCAGCAACAGCCGGCTTAGCTGGTGTCGGTGCCGCATTGAGCAACAAAGCGGAGGCTGCATAACTAGACTGGATTCTAATCGACAGCCGGCTGTGCGCGCTTCGGATTCAAGGCTCATGTAGAATCAACAGAAATCGTGAAGAGAGGCGCAGTTTATTTGTCGTTTCCGCCTATGCTCCAACCGACTGCAGCTGTGCGTCGGTTAAGGATGACTTTTATCATGGTCTCCACAACCTTTTGAACAAGGTCGTCCTTGCCGGAGATCTCAAAGCACGGGTAGGTCGCCTGCTTCCGTGTGAACGTCATCTTGGTGGCAATCACGCGCTTGACAAAAGCCGTTCTGACAACGGTGATAGACTTCTTACGTTATGCGGAAATCACCGTCTCTTTCTCCCAAGTACGAACTTTAGGCATACCAGAAGACGCGCAGCCACCTGGCGTCCTCGATCACCAACGCCAGTGTGGTCACAAATAGATCACATTGCAATCAGCTTTAGATAGTGAGGCAGCGTCCGGGGTTGTACATCAATTTGGTCTACGTACCTCGATATAGATCATGCTTTGGTCTGCGCGGACATCTGCATGCGCTTCGCCGGTTCCTCAAAACGAAAACTCCATACGCTCGACACCAACAAGTTAACTGACCTCTCTACTCGACCAAGTTATCAAGCTTCCTTATCGCATGCATTCATTGGGTCCGCATCTCAAGACATTGAAAATCACTGGGGTTTCTTGCGTGAAGCGATGCTAACTTCCAGTCATTCAATCCGCAGAATCACAAGGCGCCCTCTGAGGTGCTGAATTTCAGCACACTCACTGGAACCGTTTGATCGTCGTAGAGCTATCTCGGCCGATTCAAACAGCAGTGCATTGCGTCGCATTCTCAGCTAACAACTTAAGAAAAGCCTGCGTGCGAATCGCGAAACTTGGTGGTCCCAGCGCGCCTCAGAGATGGGAACGGCAGCACTCTCTGGAAACTTCCGCAACCTCTTCCAGGTCATTCGGGCCACTGGTCACAAAATACCTGGTGTCAGTGAGGTCATTTGCGAGGCCGAGGGAACGCCGATAAGCAACTTACACAGGCGTGTGGACCGCTGGGCTGAACACTTCTGCACTCAATTCAGCTGGCCTCCTCCACCGGCAAGTCTATTGAGTATACCTACTTGCGCACCTTGGAACGTCTCATTGTAACCACGCACTGAAGCTGAGATCTGCATTGAGCTCCAACACTTCGAGCGATTCAAGTTTGCTGGCCCAGACGAACTTCCTCCAGAGCTGTTCGTTAAAAGGCGAAGCACTTGCCAACAAGTTAACAGCTTTGTTCTCTAAGATCTGGTGTGAAGAAACAGTTCCGTCCGCTTGGAGCGAGTCAATTATCGTCCCGATCTTCAAGAAAGGTGCCCGTACCCTATGCGCTAACCACCGAGGAATCAGTCTAATGTCCGTTACCGCCAGATTGTTAACATCCATTCTACTCCGCAGACTAACCCCGATTCGAGAATTGCACTCCCGTGAAGAACAGGCTGGTTTCCGCCCCAGTCGAGGGCGTATGGGCCACTTGTTTACTCTCCGCCAACTCCTTTAAACGCGTCATCTTTACCGCTAGCCCACTATCGTTATTTTTCTGGACATCGGAGCGGCTTTCGACTCCGTCGATCGGCCAGCAGTATGGCGTTGCTTACAAAAGGATGAAGTACCCGAAAAGTATATCGCCATCATTCTAGCATTATATTGCAATGTCTCAGGTAAAGTGAGGGCTTATGGTAAATTCACTTCACCTTTTGCCGTCACTAGCGCTGCATGACAGGGTTGCCCCATGTCCCCGTTTCGCTTCAATGTTGCGATCGAGTATCTCCTTTTAAACGCTCTCGAGTGCTTTCAGAGTTTTAGTGTAGAGCTTCTTCCTGGCAACCGCGTGATCGATTTAGATTATGTTGATGATATTGCCTTGCTTGGTGGTGACGCACAGAGTACACAAGCCGTTCTAAAGCGCTTGACGATTGAAGCATCAAAATATGGAATGATCTTTGCCCCTATGAAATGCAAAGTCCTGGTCCTGGATTTGCATCCACCTGCTCCAGTGCTCACTCTTCAAGGTACGCAGCTTGAACAAGTGGACAACTTTGTTTACCTGGGAAGCTGTGTCTCTGCTGATGGTAGCATTGGAGAAGAGATTTCCCTCCGCATTGTCAAAGCCCGTTCGGCATTCGCGAACTTGGGGCATGTGTGGCGACGCCTGACGTTTCACTATTGCTAAAGGGATGGGTCTAAAATGCCGGTGTTCGCGAGGTGCTGCTGTATGGGAGTGAGTCCTGGCTGATTCGTGTGAATGACTTGCGTCGGATTACGTCCTTTGACTATGGATGTCTGCGGATAATAACACGTGTAGTGGATGTACCACGTACGCAACGATGAGGTTAGACGTCGCGTCTTGGGTAACACGGGACTTTCACTTGACAGACTGGTAGCACTGCGCCAACTGAGGTGGCTGGGCGACGTTTTACGCATGTCATGCGAACAGCTGTCCCGACGCGCTCTCTTCGGTCGCGTAGGACCAAGCTGGAAGAAATCGCGCGAAGGTCAGCCTATATATATATATATATATATATATATATATATATATATATATATATATATATATATATATATATATATATATATATATATATATATATATATATATATATATATATATATATATATATATATATATATATATATATATGGTCTAACCAAAGACACGCGATGTTGGGGGAAGTACTCAGGATCAGAAGTGACCAACTGCAAGATTCCTACGTGGTTGGACAAAAAGCGACAGTGACCACAACGCAACGTCGAACACATTAGTCTTGATGGGAAAGCATATGTTCCAACCCATCGGTCTCCACAATTCGTAGAGTGGCCAGCCGCTTGGGGAGCGCACGACCAGTCTTACAGCACCCGCGAACTTTGGTTGACCACCCAATGGCATGGAAAAGAAAAAGAGATTTACCTACAGTAATGTGACATAGAAACGCAATACAAAAAATGCTTCGTGTTTCGCGGGAAGAGTGACTGTTTAGCTTTCGGTTGGATCAATGCGTGAATAAACACGTTTGCTGAACATACGGACGAGAAATCATCACTGAGTTAACGATTGCCCTCCGCAGAACACAATAGGTAAGGGATGCTATGCTGGGAAGCCTACATTGACCATTTGGCTAACCATTGGTGCACACACACACACACACCACCAACCTAGTTGTCCACAAATTGCGCATAGCTGGGAGAACAGATAAGACCCGGAAATTTCAGCCCAGCGTCATCTGCATCGGCGGATTGACATATGCTGATGACGTCCAGCTTGCCCCGCCCATGTGGTGGATAAAACGCGTAATATGAAGGAAGAAAATGCAAGTGCAATGGGTGGGCAGACGAAACACAAGACACGGGCTCGTGTCTACTTGGTAAACGCCTTGCGGATCGATCCTATAGGAAAAAGTGCCATGGACGTAGGGTGAGCGAGGGAAAAAAACTTTACCAGAGGAAAGGGGCAATGGCGGAAACGAACTATGATGCAGCGAAGTTCTGTGAAGCTGTCGCATTATGGCGTGATGAATTGTGATATAACAGGCAAGATAACAACGCTCAGTCCATCCCCCACCAGAGAACTCAATCAAGAGATCGCGACAGAAAAGCGCTCCTGATTCAGTTTATGAACAATAAATCCGGTGACAACTCGGCATGTTGACTAAATGGGAGAAATTGTTAATGGTGAGTAGGTTAAATTGAGGAAATTAGACAGAAGAGAAGGAAAGTTGCAAAATGAACTGAAGGATGGTTAACAAGAGGTAAGATGGTTGGTGTGACAACGGCGTTTCTAACTACTGGCCAGATCAATCTATCTGTCAACTCTCCGGTAGATGGTGCGTGACAAGGATCCCGTCTTCATGGAGCTGGCTCGTGCTTCCCCGTAGTTGCTTGTTTATAGCGGTGCTTCGCTGGGAAGAGCGTTAGTACAAAAAGTGAGCACAGACTGACAGAATCATACTCATAATGGACAGCATAACATGCTCGGCTCTAAAGGGCCGCTTGATAAACCCGACAGAAAGGATTAGCGCTGCAGCATATGTGGGATTAGAGCGAACGGACGGCTCCGGTGCCTTGAAACATCATTAAAATAGGTCAAAAAATAGGATGCTGAGGTATTCTCATGCGGGAACAAGTCTGACTCCAGAAGAATCGACTTGCGTGATGACGGCTTGGCCGTAGGCGTTGAGTACCACGGTGATATCGCTTAGAAAGAATAGTAAAACCATACAAAATAGCAAATATTGCTAACCCAGCTTGTCCAGTTGTTGGTCGGAGTGTTCGTTGAACTCGGCGGTTTTGCTGTAAACCGAGGTGACACTATCAGTGCGCATTAGTGTAGCGGAGCGGAAAGGTGCCAAGCGCACCGTGTAGTCTTGTGCGTAACAAATAATCTGGTCGCACGAGGCGTCAGACCAAGTTCGGATTGTTCGACGGACACATGACCATCGAAATTGTTCCGTTCAAGTCGCACCCCGTGATGTTAGCATGTGTGCCTCTCCGGCTGATATCGTCGTCTGACGTGTTTGTCCGGCGTCCTGTTCCGTTTAGTTATTTAGGCTGGTGATCCTTCGCCCGTACTGCTACGTATACCGCATCCAGTTTAACGTGACAGTTGATTCAATTAGCTGTAGAATATTATGCATAAAAGAATTCCCTCGCTTGTTTCGAATTTTCACATCTTGGGATCATTACGTTCCCTAAGTCTAAGTGATGGTCTTCTTGACCTTCATGCATGGAAACCAAAAGATGTGGATCATGGTGTGGTAATATCGGAGAAAAGCGGACCGCATAGTGTTTAGCACATCTTCCGATTTCCAAAGCTGATCTGTCCAGTCTACTGGCTTCTGCAACACATCTTCCAATATTTCAACCTGGTCTATCGGTGCCTATCCCTCAACGGAATCCACATGCCACAGCCTGCAGAAAATCGCTAGTATACCTCGGCAGCAGCACAGTATTAGTGGCGACATCCACCATCGGATTTTAAGTCAAACAAACTGTAAACTACTGAGCTGTATAATTTTTTCCCACAGGGTTCGGTGGCTGTGACTCAGCATTTGTCCCGCCAAAACCTCTTTGTGTGCGTTGGTTCTGAGTAAGAGAGAAGGAGAGGTGGCCAGCGTACAACTTGGGTTCAAAATGTCAAGATGCTGAAATTACAGTTGGTCGCAATAGAGCGTTCCCAACTCCCGGGTTAGGGACCCAAAGACTTCGGGAACACTTTATTGAACACGCTGCCGGATTAGACACGGAATTGTATTCAATGGTGGGTAAGTTTCGAGATCCTGTTCTTTGGAATAGCTTTGCCACTTTTGCCATTATCACCTCTACCAGTATGTCGCAACACTCCTCCGACAACAGGTATTTCAACGTATATGTTTGGTCCTCGCTCTAAACTGGGAAATTTCCAATGCAAAGTAGGCTATGTTTGAACCACTTAGGGTGATTTCAAAACAAGCGTTACGATTCTCAAACCATGGTGGCTGTTACCAAACCATAAGTCGAGCGTCGCTAAATTGAAGCCGGAACCAAGTTAACTTGCGAGATGCCCTGGATCATAGGATATGACGTTGTCACCAGGAGTAACGAACAATGTGAAACGCGACGAAGCAAGTGAATGCCCTTAACAGGCAGGAAGAAAACCACCCGAGATACTGTTCGTATCAAAGAGAACACAGCAAGAAGAATAAGACCCATTGGCAAGAAAACACTACAGTCCAGCATAGCTGTGGAAGAAATAAGGACACAAACGCGCTCAAAAAGAGTGAGAGGCCGCATGACAATTCCACTTGTGGCGACGAATAACAAAGGCGTAATTCATTCGGAGATCATCATCAACCGCAGGATTTGCAATGGCGTAAAGTTCTCCAGGTTCGTCGGAGACCTTAAGGGCACACATCTGTTGCAGTGGACAGGAAAGATGCGCTGCTGATCATGCATAGCGATAGACAATCTAAGGAGGATCTCGAGCTACTCCTGGGAGACGAAGTCTCTGCTGACTTACTCTTCCTTACTAAACCATGCGGAAAACATAATCTCCAAGGTGAAGACATCCTCGAAGTGCCTGCTTACGAACCCGACGCCTAAATAGACGCTAACTGCGGTCATTCGAGAAAGCTATGAAACGGTAACGCAATGTGACTGCGCGAATAACTACCCTAATATGATGATGAATGGGACGACAGACTCAGCGTGACATCTTCTCATCAACTGACCTCATTCAGGTCGTTATTTTCTTCTGTTCTAATAAATAATTTGTGCCCTGCTTGATTTGGAAAACGAATTGGGTGGTTTGAAAGTAGTTCAGTCCAATTCGAAAGTATATATATATATATATATATATATATATATATATATATATTCAATTCTGTGCCCCATGCTGAGGCTGATGTTGTATTCTTGATGCTTCTTCACCGCAGTTAGGCTAAACCAACTTACACTTAAACTATGTCTTTTTAAGCTGGAAACATTTCATTCCACTTTATTTGGCTTGTTCTGCCTACCTGAATAATGTTCTATTAACTGGCCACGTTGCTAACACTGATTGCGCTTATCTTCGGTAACTGTTTCGTTTGTAGCATTTAAAGTAACTTGTGGACATTGCTTATTTATCGTGGATTCGTTGCTAACCAACTTACTTCATATGGTAATTTAGGGATGAGTTATGCCACCGTATCTGAATGCATTATTGGATTTATTTTATTTCAGCTTGTCGTTTAAAGTGAATGGCTGTTGCTTGATATCCCCGGTGTAACTGCGCTGGATGTGCATGTTGACAAGGTGCCTACCTGTCTATTACCCACTACCTCGTCCATACTGGCTCTAGGAGACAGTTTATCATTGCTGGAGGAGACGTGGTGCACGGTCCTTGTGGCCTTGCTAGGCTCGAAGAGTGGTTCCATGCACTCAGTGTGGAGCGGACTACGGTCCAGCCACCGCCTTGTGTGCGTTTGGGTCCCCAAATACAGCGTGCTTGTGTTTGCCTGTGAAGGGGTGTGGGCCGGCTCCGTTGATGAAACGTGGTTCCCATCCGCATGCCTCCCGGTCTTATTCCTTCGGGTGTACACTGGATATGGGGTGTGTGAATGGAGCTGTGGGTGGTGCAGCGCAAGCCACCCATGGTCCCTCTGTAGACGCAGGCGTCCTGTGGCTGGCCACATTGGCAGGCAAATCCGAAACCAGATGCCGCCAAACATATATAATTCACCTTACTCTGAGCGAAGTTCTTCACATGAAGTTCTTCAAGTTAAGTGGGTACTAAGTATGCACTTGATTTTTGGCATGAGACCGACTGGCAAACACACAGAGCCTATTTCGATATACCGCGCTTCTTTGGCTAGTGCAGTATAGCCGCTGTGACATGAAGAAGCCAAGCAAGAAGCTCACTCAAGCTTGAGGGTCAGACAGGTGGTCAGGTGTCCATTGCGAGGTCATGCGGTTAAAAACCCAATGTCGCAGTTACATTCCGTCTTTGGTATGCCGAATGTAACCCCCCATTGCCCATTTCTATCCCATTTTAAATCCGGTTATGATGAGGCATAAAAATGCCATACAAAGGTGCAACATCCAGTAGTGCTTTCGCCACAACCAGTTCGGTTTCCAAGATGAAAATGGACAGTGGGAGCAAAGGAATTAACCTGTATCTACTAAAGACGTCAAGGTCCCATTCATCGAGAGTACGGTAGCATTTGGAGAGGTCCACGGGTGATCGAATTCATCTCGCTTCTGCAGAGTAGTAAATACAACTAGAGCAGAAGGGCGGTGTAGAGTCGAATCTCAGTAGTTCGAAAAAGTTTCAAATAAAAGGCGAGCGCACAGATACGAGGCTAATACAATTATATATATATATATATATATATATATATATATATATATATATATATATATATATATATATATGAGAACAACTATGGTCAAATATGCTAGGAATGGTAAGGGGGAACAAACTAACGACTTACGCATTGACTTCAATATCACTTCGCTTTCTCGAAACCAAGTCATCAAAAATTCGAAACGGATGGCCCGGCGACGATTTCGACGTAGCAAGAAAGTGGCATTTTCCGATGCCAGAAGCGTAGCCGAGGAGGATTGGCTGAAGGGTACACGCCGCATACCATGTCCGCGTCCCTCACTGCGTGTCTGCATCGGTTCAATGTCTGCGGACAACTTGGCAGCCTCTAGCTGTTCAACTAGATTGCGCATTGCAAGCATCCGGCCGTTGAAACTGGCCCTTGCTGCGCCCTGAGGAGGTGACAAGGCAGATAGGAGCAAAGTGCAATGAAGCTTGTCTACTTGAGTTATTGCGAACGACGGTGAAGTGCCATTGGAGGAGGAGGAGGATGTTGTCACGCTCGGTTCAAATGATTCCCAGTCAGGCTCCACCGGGCACTGATAACCGCTTGTTGCACCGGAGCGCGTTAGGAAGGGCAAACACCCGGTAAGATCCAAGTCGATAAGCCGGTATGTGAGCACCCGCAGACCGGTCATTAGATCAAACACCTTGGAATCCTGATAGAGAGACACAGAACGGCAGAAACAAAGATAATCTGGCCAATAGAGCTTGTAAGAAAATTACACGAGAGAATGGAATAACTGATGCTGGATTATAATCATCGGTACGAACAATAAGTCTAGGATCACCGGTGGTGAAACTGTTTCCAAATTCCCTAGTGTGTTGGGATAGTACACGCGGTCAAGTAAGGCTGCAAACAAGCATCCGATCAGATGTGAAGATCCGTTCCCCGTGAAATCACTGAAAACGCAAGGTTGTACATTTCACTAGCATAGCAAAACTAGCTTGTGTAGGAACACAAATGATAAACGGCACTAAAATGAAGAACACTCATACAGCAAGGGACAACTATCGGTGAAACATGGTAAATGTCTATTGGTTGATCAATTTAGAGCCAACTGACAGGTCCATGTGTGGAATGTAACAGACCGGCCATTTATTGAATAGGAAAAACTCGCTCGGTGCAGATGTGCCACCAGCTACACTGTTGGGAATGTCAATGCCTCACGAATAGTACAGCACTCGACGTCAGATGCATACTGTGCACATAAAAAAGTCAGAGGAATTTAAGAGCAAGAAAAAAGTCGGACTGCAAATTCTGTACCTGGAGTGTAAAAATGATCATCGCAGCCATGAATTGATTATTCACACCATGTGAACGCAATGTTCCATCATACCGTTGCACCGTATCGCTCTTAATGTGTCGAAACCGAATGTCGTACCGTTTAGTAACTGATGCAAGGTGCATGACACAAATGTGGCCCACTCATTCTCTAGTTCAGTCGCTGAGCTAATTATCAATCCCATTTCGTGATGCACGGGAACTATGGAATTTAGGCTAGTTCGTTGGAAAACATGGACCACGTAGGTCCAGGAATACAGCTTGCAATGTTCACTGAAAAGTGATGGGATAGAGAATATTTGATGTTCAACTATCTAAGCATGAATAGGCTCTTACGAGGTCAACTATCGCAGTGGCCACAACGAATTTAACACGTAGAATCCACTTCAGCGGCGTTGCCGTGTTCCAACACCTAGCTAATCCTTCTTGAACAACGATTGATTTGTCCGTCTACACAGGGTCACTTGCTCGTATCAATGTCCGTTGTAACGTTTTCGTTTAGGGATGTGCGCACGCGTCAGCAGTTGAGCCTTCGAAAGCAGATAGCTTGACGCCATCTCAGTATAGAAATTCCGAAACTCACCCGATGATGAACTATGCAAACATGGGTCAAACGGAGTGGTTTTTTAAGCTAGTGCGAGCACACTAGGTGTCAAAAATCACATAAGCCTACACCATTTATAAAACAGGCTGCCGAAAAACTCTATCTCTGAGTATACATTTGTCCCTCTTACTGGCATGTCGTTTTACAACACACACACAATCTCATGCTGAGGTTGATGTTGCGTACATCATGCATGTTCCACGCAGTTGGGCTATACCGACTTATTCTAAAACTAGACATTCTAAATTTGGATAAAAAGTATCCCACTTTATTTTGCTGGCTCAGTTCTGCTATTCCGCTGCATACTCCATGCCAGTATCTGTGCGTTTCATTTCTTCCAAATGCCATATTGGTTGTTTGATATCCTCGATGTGGCTGCGCTTGATTGGAATGCTAGCAAGATGCCTACCTGTCTAATACCCTCCAACTCGATTACTGGCTCCAGGACACTGCCGAACTTTGTAGGAGGATGCATGGACCCTAGTGGCCGCGCTAGGCTCAAAAGTGGTTGCCTACGTACGGTACGCGGGATTTCCAAAATAGTTAACTAGGAATGCCGCCGCCACCGCCGCCGCTACTGCTGCTGCGGGCTCCGTTGAGGAAACGTGGCTCCTAATCACATGCCACCCGGACTTATTCTTTCGCGTTTTCACAAGATATGCGGTGTGTGGATGGTGCTGTGGGCGGTGCAGCGCAAGCCACTCATCGTTCCTCTGTAAGCGCAGGCGTCCTGTGGCCTTCGTATGGAGGTCGCAGTGACATGCAAATCCGGAACCGAATGTCACCAACCTGACTGAGTACAGACAATGTGCCATCAGGACCATGCAAAAAGAGAATAACAGCTGGCGCAGTCGCGCCATGTGCTGTTAATTTTAGATCTATTCTGATTAACGCACCTCTTTCTTGCTTCGATTTTCTTTACATTCTATTTGTCTTTAACTCCATTACCTCGTAGTTTTTAGTTATTGTTATTTTTGCGATGTGAGTCGCGGCAACTGGATCCACCGCACTTCGGTGCTCGAATGATAGTTGTGCAACTAAACTGAACTGGACTGTCCTAAGATGCAGACTAATTATTTTCACTCCCAAAAAGTGACCGGTACTACCTTTCGTTTGTCCGTAGAGTGGACTCAAAGCTGCTTTACTCCGGCAATTCATCATGCCTCATCTGCCACAGGTATGTGTCGGTTCGAAGAAAGGTGTGTGACCATAAAGTTGAGTGAAAGCAGCGCGTATCGTCTGGTGTAGTTTCGCAAATACATGATAAGCTGACGTCATGCTTCATTGGCGTCGCGTATTCATAGTACCCGTGTTAAAATGTTACCATCCACCACTCGAATGCATACGCCTAACTGGACTGCCTTGAAAACAAGGTACAGTCACAACTATGCGTTGAGTAATTCATAGAAAGCATTCCCGAGGAGTGATGAAAGAGACTCACACGTTCTTTAAAGTCATCTTCGCTCAGGTTCGACAAGCGCCATAAGGCCCGCTCCATCAAAGCGAGCCCACGTTCGTTTCGCAGTGTGTAGGCAGACAGGTAATCGGCACAGTGGACCAACGGCGATAGAACGGATGCCATGAGCTGCGAGTTAAAACGAAATCGGACAGGGGAACTGGAAATGAGAGACACCAAATATATGGTGCACATAGCGTCGAACGAAATTTCAACCCTAGTAATCATAAGTGGTGTGTCATCACACAAGGTCACACTGGTATCAAAGTAAAACACTAAACACGTGGGGACAATATCCAGGGATAACATATGGCTGCATGAGTTAATGGGAGTAAAGTGATTTAATGGCACGGTGACATGTGTGAAGGGTGTTTCCAGTGAAGAACAACCATACAGTTGAGTACACTAACGTACTAGACAAGGAAGTTGAAATGAGGAAACCTACGGATAAAGTTGTGTTGCGGGTGGACAAAACCAGTGAGCGTAGTGGACGAGCAGTAAGCAAGTTAACAAAACGGAAAAGGAGTTACCGGGTAAAACTATCACATCCAACGGAAAACAGACGAATAGAGAGGGCAAATAGGGTATCGAATAGGTAAATCAATATGCCTCCGGTAGGGGCATTCTTAAAACATTAGGCAGAGTATTTGGTGCAGTTGCTGATGGAAGACAGAGGATGCGCACGATAGTGGTTAGTGACCACACGTACTGGTGGCGATAAACAAGCGCAGGTGGATGAGCAGAAATGGGTATCAGCAGTACGCCGGTACGCCGTACCGAGGCTTCGATGTCGCGTAACCATCACCGGTTGCGCGTGGGCCAAGGATACTACTATGGTCGCCAGGCCCCGTACGTTTTTTTACACGGCTCAGTAGGTTGGTGACTGATTAGCTGTTATCACGTTAGTTGCACAGTGGTAATACATGGGAGAGCAGCTGTTCCATCTCGCTTGCCAAACTAACTCCTCGTGGTGCCAGCTGGGTGGTTCAGGTTTACCCCCATCGAGCGAAGTGTTCGGCGACAATGTCCCAAGAGGTAGTAGATTTTCGTCTGGCAAGCCTTTTCCCTATAAAAGGCTACAGAGGTCTGTTTAACAACACAGCAACGTGGCGGATGTGACTCGCCACTAAATAAAGTCACTGCGCCATGCTTCACATTGGCGAAGCATCATATAGGAACAACGTGATGCTATAAGTGTGGCGGGGGTTTGGACTCTGTTTGGTAATCAACCAAACGAAAGGCGTATTAACTGAACAACTAGTTACCGGTTCCAAATGAGTGCGATTCCCTCACTTTGCTCCGCTGTCTTGCGGGTGGGGTGACGCTAAGTCAAAAACTACCTCATCTTGGTCAAAAGGGTAGTATCGTGCCCTTTGAAGAAACCATAGATTTCTCAGGGTTGTGGTTGATTTCCTTTTTACGACAACTGCACCTTACTTTGATTTCCATAGTTTTTGATGGTTAACTGTCTATTCGTAGACTAGTGCAAAAAAATATACCTCCGGATACAAAAGTCATTAGCGGTACGCCTGTGCCAGTGCTTCGCTGACACGCAAGCAAGCATAACTAGCTCAGTTATGGCTCAGCTGGTTGATAGTGGGCATGAGGTTGACCCAGTCAGTGCTTTTCGATTACTGTACAGGGTCCCTCCACTCCAGTCGAAAGGCCTGCGCCTCCGGACCCTTGCTACTGCCGAGGCGATCAGCATTCGGTTGTACCAACCTCTTTTGTGTGCACAAAAGAAGCTGATCGAAGCTGTTCAGCTACCTTGGCCAGCCAAAACGGATCCTTCGGACAGCAACTGCGATTATGCAACGGTACCTCATGCTAGCTCCCTAGAACAACAGATAGCACTGAATAAGTTACGTTGGCTCGGGCACGTGCTACGCATGCCTGGCCACCGCTTACCTAGGAGGGCCTTGTTCAGTCTACCAGGTGTCGGATGGCGCAAGGCTCGAGGTGGACAGAAGTTGACTTGGCAGTGGGAAATGAAGTCACTGACGACCAAACTGGGTGCCGTTGGTCCGTCTCACCTTCCGGGTTGGAGTCCACGTGACTCACCTTGTGCTTGGCTCGAGACTTTACAGGACATGTCTCGCAACCGACACCAGTGGCGCGTCTGCTGCCGTCTCCTAATCGGATTGTCTGTTTAAAGTGTGTTTGGTGCTGAGTTATCTGCGGGGTAATGGCTGATTATGACGCGTGGCAGTGAAAGCCGCAAGGAAGCTGTCTCGCCGATGCCGCCTTATCTTTGCACGATAGCCAGCTGTTTGTGACGGAATGTTGTCTACATAAGGTGTAGGCGCCTTGACCCTGAATGTTTGCTTAGGGCATTAAGGTTTTCAGGTAAGTCCCCCTTCTCTCCCTCTTATTCTTTATTTCATAGGTCCTCATGGTTGTATGGCAGCGAAGCATCAGTTCAAATGGCTGATGTACTGCTGTTGATGATGATGATGATGATGACTTCAGCCCTAGTTTGCTGTTTGTTACTGGTTCATGCCTTTGATCGACACGTGATCAATCTCATTTGAACTGATCGTTAATCCCCTTGTACTTTCCCATTGCGATTTCACCCATATGATTGTACAGGTCTGAAGATGAATCATCGAAAACAATTGTTCACCCTCGGTCTTTCGTTCTTGATAATGAAATGGGAATTTTCCACTTACACTTGGTTGTATGCCGTTTGGGATACCACAAGAGGACGCCTAAAGACTGGAGTATGGGAGCGTAGAGATAGATGCCTTAACCGACCGGCACCACGGATTCCCGGTGCTCCGGACAAATCAGCAATAGATCCCGATCACAGCTGTGACAGGCGTTCGGCGCGAAAATCTCAGTGTTGCAATGACGAAGGTACTCTGTCAGCAACCTCCACAGGTTCAGGTTTCGAGCCTCAGGTGGATAATATCGACCTGAAGAGCCCAAACGTGAACGAAGATGGTTGAATGCAGTGTCACAATAGAGTAATAGCTAATTTATATACTTTGAAGAATCAGTTATCCGATTGAAGCAGAAAGTAGTGAGAACCACCAACCGGGACGGAGGGTTGCGTGAATTTCGCATGCGCAGACACACTCAAAACTTATTGTTAATGCACGCCAACACATAAGTAACTACGGACAGAATGAAGCTTTCAAAAGGACAGCACGCTGAGAAAACGAACACTGGTGGATGCACTCTTCCGATTGGCCCATCAGGGCCAATACAATAACAAGAAATGATTTAGACAACGAGTAATGGGTGCTACCAAACCAATCACATGTAGTGAGGTGACCAACGTCAATGGTCCTAGGACAATGACAACCGAAGGTTTACAATGAACTAGTTATGCACGCACACACAGGGCAGGACTTAGCTGGCTTATCGCCAAGGTCTCAAGCAACCGCAAGTTAATAATAACTGGTCGTTTGAACGAAGCTGACCAACGGGTTGCAGGCAAGTGTGAGGCTAACCGATCGCTACCGACGCAAACTCATCGCGCGAGGAGGAGACAGAGAGAGAGAGAGAGAGGAATCAGGACAGGCTCAAGCTAGAAGGAACTAAGAACAGCTGAGTCACGAACAACGACAAATTTTGTCAAAATCATAACAGATTCCTCTAATACTCAGTAAGCGTCTTAGCAGCTTACATGCCACCCCGATTGGTAGCGGCTTGCAAAGGAAGTCATTGCTCTGGGGACCAGCCCTGCCCTCTGCATATTCCTAACCTGCAGGACAGTGGAGGATGAGCCGCGCTACATTGCAGTTAGACTTCAGTCATGGCGGTCCGCCGCCAGCACCCATGGTTCAGTGAAGTAAGTCGCTGGCTCAAAGTAAGGTCAGGGGTTCGAATCCGGTAAGATTCGGCGAGTACGCGCTACTGTCGAGGACCAAAAGGACGAAATGGCCGTCTAGCGCTTTTCTGGATGTGTGGTGCCTGTCTGGCTTAGTCTAGCTGCGAAGTGTGTGTTCTAGCCAGAGAAACAAAGGAGAGCTGACGCGTTCAAGCATGAGTCGAGGTGGACCATGCAGAAGGAGCAGAAGTCGACTGAAGTGAGCAGTACATAAGGACCGATGAACAGAGACAGACAGCAGGAGACGCAAAAATGGAAAGTAACCAATGTGAAGACGTCACGACCAATAGCGCCCCTCACTTATGTGCAGTATAGACGACGCTTTGCTAAATAACATTCTGATCATTGCTTAGCCTTTGTTTTTGACTCTTGCAGGGCGACGTGACACTCAAGGAATATGAATTACGGTGAAAACCAATTGCTTTTCCCCACGCACAATGCAGAGCTTATAGTGAAAACAAAAAGAAGGAGCTAAGCTTTAAAAGGAAATCCATCTAAACATGTTCCAAACGTGTGGATCGCTAACACTAAGATATCGGTTTGGATTAGATTAGAAAGGAAAAACACTTCACTTACAGAGATATTCGCCCAGCGCTGCGTGCCTAGCCAATGAAGCAAACGAAAACCATCGAAGTAACCGAAACAGTTCACCAAATTGACGAGATAAAAGTTACGCGGTGATGGCAGCATTTCGGCATACACTGCCTGACTTCCAGTCGTCCGACGTTGGCAAATGCTAGTCCAATCATTAAACGGGTCACTAAAATGGAACAAATAGTTCTTGTATTCGGTGGCACATATTTTAAAGGGCACAACGGAAGAGATTCAGTGGGGATCGAATGGAATCAGGCAGTTAGCAACATATATTATCATCCGCATCAACATTAACGACAGTGTTAGATAGGCAGGCATTAGTTGTAGACTCGCTGCCATACGACCAAACGGACATCCCCCACAAATAAGGAATAAGAAGGAAGGATGTGGCACAAAAGTAAACTTTTACAAATAATGAGGGTCAAGGCGTATGATGCGTGCCTTAATCTCATGGTTAAGAGCAGCTGGGCAGCAGTATATAGGCACAGAGTTGGGTCGGTGAGACAGCTTCCTTGGGACATTCAATGGTCTGATTCGCGGGCCATCCACTCCACAGATATCACAGCACATTTTTAAACGACCAATTTAGTTAGCAGATCACAACAAACGCTTCAATAGTGCCGACGGAGAGCCATGCTCAATACGGTGAGTTCAGCAGGCAGTAGCCCGGATAGTGAGACGGAGCAAAGGCACCCAGTGACTTTATTTTCTGGGACCAGACGGAATAATATTGTCACTAGCTTTATGCAACATTAGATCAAGTGAGGAAAAAAGCGCCACGCGTTACGCGATGGGTGAGTGTGCACAGGACAAGCCGAAGATAATGTAATCTTATCACCACTGTATGCGTTAGTCTAATGAAATGTACCGCGCACGTGTGACTTAACGCTTGGATTCAATGTAGAAAGTTGTCTTTAGCAGTTGAACTAAATGCAACTTCAACATCCCAAATGACACTAGCTGTCGATGGGAAATCGTCAGAATATCGAGCGACATGGTCACTATCGGTAAAATTTGGATCAGGCAATGGAAATTCGACGTGATAAAACTGTGCCACGGCATGTAGTCCGGGAGACTAACAAATCCGCAGAATGACAAATGGTGCTATCTGCAGGCTGGTCCGACTTAAATTAAGAACTTTAGAAGAACCGATGCAAGGTGGCGTCTCAGGTTTGAACGATGATTTTGACACTCTATTAGAATACGTCACCAGGTCAATAACAGTCTATTGCTCGCAGACGAGGAAAAAGCATTGTGATAAAGGATAGAGAGACGAAATAATGTATGTGGAGGAGAACTACAAGATTTCCACAGTGGAGAAACGTTTTGTTCGACTGGTCGTGTCTCCAGTTATCAACTCAAAAGCGGTAGGAGATATGGTCAGATTCGTGGTAGCAAGGTGGGATATTCATTGTGGTAACTACAGAGCCTCGATAGGTTGAGCTGTTTAATGAATGCGGTTTTTCGGTACACTTGATATACATGTGATAATACCTGTGATAATAACCAAACACGTGAACTTTTATGGTCTTGAGCTTCACCGCTCACAGGATACTCTATCAGTATCGGGTACAACCCGAGGCGCTTGTAGTGTTTGCTAATCTATGTGAAATCAGGCCCCGTTTGGTTATCTTTAGCTTTGGAGGTAAGCGGCCGCGCAAACGTTCTCTGCCTTCTTTTGGAATGTAGTTGAGAGTAAATTCGCTGACTAGTAGCCATCAACCTTCCCAGTATGAATTAACCTGGAGACACTTGAAAAAGACATCTATCTTAGTTCAGCGAACCACAAATACGCGTAAACCATGCATCACGTTCAGCCTCACTTCTATGGGTATCAGGTGAGGTGATACTGAGACTGTATCTAAGAGTAAGCAGAAAGTTTCTTTACAACGCTATCGAATTAGGAAAAATCAAAGTATTTGATTGCGAATCGTCAGCGGTGATGTTTGGTCACTTAATCATTTATCCTTGTTCGGTTAGGAATTCGCATTAGTGTCATCGTTTCCGGGTATATGGTATTTTTTCCATTGTATGTGCACCGTCTCATAAAAGTACAGGCTTCGAAAATAATTGTCGATGTTTTTTAAAAGGCTTCACAGAATCGGCCTCTAGTAATCCTTCTGGTAGTGTATTCCATAAGTTTACGATTCTGCGTTCTATACAAAGTTTGTAATGGTGTCCTCGGGTGTTGCAGGGTTCCCGCAGATGAAATATTGGCCGCAGTATGGGGAAGTGATTCAAGTGCAGTACTCGATGGGTCATAATAAGGTCAATTCTTACTCGGCGGTAGGGTAGTGTGTAAAGTCCGAGCCTTTCATAACGTTTTCATACGGAAGCTTTTGTAGACTCGGTATCATTCTAGTTGCGATATGCTGTATTTTCTCCAGCTTTTCAGTTTCCCACTGGGTTATCGGATGATAATCTGGGGCACCATATTCAAGCATTGGTCTAATGATCGAGATGAATTGACGAGGGGGTTTCTTCGGACCATATGGAGAAACTGCGTCTTAATGCCCAGAGCATACGAAGTCCCGCACGGTACACTTTCTCTGTATTTTCTAGTGATCACTTATCATGTTAGGAGAGTAGTCCTTAGTCTCTGATAGGTGTTAGAGTGGAGCAACTGGCCGTCCAAGATGTATGATCGAATGGCTGGACGTCTAATGACACTGATGAACTCCGACTTGCTTGCGTTAAGAGGGAGTTGCATTTCAGTGGACCACGTTGACAGTCGCTCTAAGTCATGCTGGAGGCGAGCGCAGTAGTCCTGGTTCTCAATGATCCCCCAGGTTTTCAGATCACCTGCAAATAGGGCACATGGTGACTGGAGCTGCTGCGGAAAATCGTCGATTTGAAGAAGAAATAATACTGGCCCAAATACAGTTCCTTGATGCACACCACTGGTCGATGGAAACCAGTCTGTCAGGTAGTCACTGACCTGTACACTAAACTTTCGTCCACAATAAACTCGTGTAACCACTGAAGTAGCGTGCCACCGATTCCGTAGGTTCTCAGTTTACGAATGAATACCTCACGGTTCACTGTCAAACGCCTTGCTAGAGCCGATGTACACCACGCCAACACACACCCCCCCCCGATCGTTGAGAGCTCGCACCCACTGGTGGTTTGTGTACATCGAGTTGGGGATACAGGATAGCCATTTCGTAAAGCCGTGTTGCGCTAGCGTCAATACGTCCATCGATCCGACAGCAGACAATTTTTCACAACCTTCTCGAGAAGTTTGGGTAATATCGAAGTCAAACAGATAGGTCTATAGTTCTCCACTTTACTCGGACCACCACCCTTTGGAAGCGGTCTCGCTATCGAGTATTTCCAGTAGTCGGGGACAGATCCTTCAGAGAGTGATTTCTTGAGTAGGTTTGTCACCACTGGTGTGATGACATTCGGTAGGGACTTGAGTATTAGTGGGTGAAGTCAGTCTGGTCAGGGAGGCATTGCACCATCGAGGTTGACGAGTAGCTGAAACACTTCGATTGCATCACATTGTAGGCTGCCGAGCAAGACTGGCGCAAGCTGTACCGGTTACTGGAAAATACGGTGAGGAAGTGGGTAGCCAAGGCGTCCGCGCGCTCCGCGATTGGAATGAGCGTTTGTCCGTCCAATCTCTCTGAGACTGGTAGGTCGCCCCCAGGTTTCAGTTGACGTTTCAAATAAGCAAATATTCTTTCGGATGCAGTTGTGGCCAAAGATGCTAGCTCATCTTCGAATTGCCGGTGTTTCTTGATCTTTGCGGCGTTACATAAGTTACGCTGTTTCTTGTACACCGTGTAATCTTCATCACAACCCTAGCTGATGTACCTATCCCAAAGTTTGCGACGCCAACCCGTTGTCTATATTCCGTATCAAACCAATGCGGTTTGACAGGTCCGACTTTTGAATACTTCAGGGGGAACGAACCGAGTACACAGCGAGTTAAGCTTCCCCTTCATTAATGACTAACAGGCCTCAAGCGACGTATCCTGTGGTAGTGTCCAATCAGTCTGACTTGCGGCTTGGAGGAGCCCGTTGAAGTCCGTCTTCCAATAGTTTAATGTCGGCTTCCGTTGGTTGTAATACGGTAACGACAGTTCTACGCTTGTCACAATGGAGTAGTGGTCACTGTTCGTCGGAGGGTCGAGGACTCTGATCTCGTTCAGCTTCTGCTCGCAGCTCGTAAACACTAAATCCAGACAAGATGCAGAGTGCGGGGTTACGCGCGTCGGTTGGATGACAAGTTGCGTTTCCCCGATTTCAATAGTCATTTTAGTGAATTGAACCTCAACGTCGCCATGACAGAGAGGAAGCCAAACGTCTGGTCAGGTAAATTTAGATCTCCCACCAGTAAGGAATGAGGGCAGCTCATGTGTTTCTGTATATGTGGTAGCTCATCGCAACAACGGTTTAATGGGCTACGGTAGACAACACCCACTATTAGTTCTGCACGTCTGAGGCGGATTGTGCACCACAATTGCTCACATAAGTTATCCTCGTTCCGATAAGTGCTGGTAAGTTTGCCAGATAGTTACGAGTTTATGTACAACACCACCGTGAACGTTTGATTTTCGGTCGCATCGGAAACAGAAATACCTGACAACGCGACTTCGTGGGGTATGTCTTCGTGGTTCAGCTGTCTCTGCAAGTCATATAATGTCCGGCCACCCCGAGACAGCGAAGCGGCACAGTTCGTCACGTTTGTTCATTAGGCCGCACATGTTGGCGAATACCACACGGAGGTCCTGGGAGGTACTGCGGGACGTGCCTGGACGTTGAGCAACCGGTTGAACGGGTTCATACACCCTTCTTGATCATGCGAAGATTTACAATTTGTAAATCAGTCTCACCTTCTGTACGGCGTTTGAGCTCAATGACCGCAGTCTTCAAACGAACCCTGTCTTCAGGTTCCAAGTCTCGGCGGATCTGAAACTTTATGCTTTTCAGTCTTGACAGACGAGACAGTATGAGTTGCGGCATATTGTGATTTGCGAAGGTGATTCTCAGAGGTCGACATGATTGGTTAGTTTTTTGGCCAAATCGGATTATTTGTTTAATCGTCACACCGTCTTCACCCACACCCAAGAGTCTAACGATGAGCCCCTGGAGGAACTCAACATCGTGATCATAGCGTGTTTGATGTTTTGCATCTTTTAACTCTGGTACGTGGAAGACCATGAGAGTATGACACTTCAGCAAAATCGGGAGCAGGACTAGAGGCGCTTATCTGTTTGGGTTGTTGTTTATCAGCAGGGGACGCCTGAACACGATTACGTGGCCCTTTGCGCTTTTGAGTGGTCCATGGATGCTAGGTGTTCAGAAGTTCACAAACAGGCTCTGAGAAATTCACGGACCGATCAGTGAAGCGGCATTTCGTAGGTTCCGAGTCTGAGTCTTCAATCGGTGGAAACATAGAACCTGGGGCTCGACCAGGGTCGAACACGCTGGTGGTAGTGCAGATCGCGAAATGACAAGAGGAGGTGAGGTGACAGAGGCACTTTCACGAGGACGTTTGACCCCACGTGGTTTCTGCCTGGAAGAGAGGTTTTCCCGTAGTTGTTGGCGGTCATTGTGAATTCTGATGTCTTGTACCGCGACATTTATCACATATAACTTGGAAAAACCGGTGTCGGATGCCGAGAAATTTTGGAAATAGGTCAACGGATAAGCCAATGCATGAAATATGGAACAAAACATTGCAACCGAAGCACCGAAGTGCATGAGCCTTTTATCCAACAACTTTCGAACATGAACCACAAGTAGCTTGAGACGGCATCACAAGGTAGAGCAAATGCAATATGGCAGACACAGATGGGAGGTGGGCCAATCAATGGGATCTCCGGAATTAGGCAAAGAATATCCACTGGAAAATAGACCAATGGAAGAATATCGGTACACAATGCACACAGAGAGAACACTTATAACACAGTAATCCAAAGCAAAAGTAGTATGCAGCACACGGTGATTCAAAAAGCTGCGGAGTCCGCGGGTACAGCTAGCGTTAAGTCGGGTAATTGAACCAAGTGACAAGGCTGACGAAGAAAACTGCGAATCCAGCCACTTATGGCATCGCATTTTCGGTTTTTAGGAGGAACAGCAGTGCGATGTAAAATATCGGCAGATGGTTTTAAATTACAACCCTGTGAACAGACGGATGGTGATTAAAATGGCGAAGTCCGATATCATGAGGTTGTACACACTTCAAGGACTTTCGAAGCGATACAAAAGAATCAAATCATCGCAATGAAGGGGAAAAAAGATAACGTACGCGTAGTTTCCTGAACTGCCACTCCGGTCCCGGCAAAGTTGATGATAATTCGCTTCGCAATCGAAAATGAGCGCTAACAGGTGCAAAGCCCAATCTGTAAATGCTGGGGCTGATCGGGGAGTGGTCAAACCGAGCTTGGTTGTCACGGCTTCGTCACAGCCGGATGGAGCCAGACCCCCATCTATCGCAGTGCTGCCAGCCGACATACTGCTTTGGAGAGTCCGTTGGAAGGCAGCCAGGTATTCACAAATCAAGCGAACGGCAAGTTCCAGCATGTTGTGCACACCTTCCAATGTCTCGCGGTCCCAGTTGAACACAGCCTGGGAATTCAATAGCTGTGAGGAAGGAAATATCGTGACTAGATATTGTCATTATAGTACAGCGACTTAGGTCGAGTTCGGAAAGAGAAGAAATTTGGACAGACTTTTAAGTGATCAGGAGAGAATGGCGCTTTCAGGAGCCACAAGAAGAAAGTAGAGAAAATACAATGTTGCGCTTCAAGATGGCATTTTGAGCTGCTCTTAATTATCAGTATCAAGGAGAAGCGTCACTAAAAGACCCTAAAGAAACTTCCCACGACAGTTCAGATAAAGATGGTAAGCCATGGAAATGAAAACGTGAAACGGATAACTGATATTTGATTGGATCGACACATGGTTAATAACGAAATAATGCGCAAAGTGCTATTCACCTTGGGTGTTGTATTTTCGAGGGCGTTTGCCACTTTTTAGAATAGATACAGGAACTGGATGTGTTGAATGAAACAACGCTTAGCTACTTTACTCTGCTCACTCATACTGATCGCATCATGTTATTGTTGGAAAGACGTCCACAGCTACGCTGTACAGCGTACTACAATAAATCGTACAAGCCGCTGCAGGTAGGTAACCCTGCAGAGAAGCAGAAAAGTTGGCTGATTAACTACCAAAACCTGGTGATGTCCCTTGCTTCTAAAATAAGGTCACCACACTCAATTAGCAAAATATACTCGCCAACAAATTCAACAGTCGCTTGGATGTAAATGCGTACCCTTTATGGCCACCGTCACGCTAGGTATCAGGTATGGAAACCTTTGACGGGGAAAACCACTCACTCGGTTTGATGATGGAACAGGAAAGTGTACCCATTCAGTGATGTGCCATGGCTGATTGGAGCGGATTGTGACAAAATATCAGAATAACCAACACAAAAATAAAGGAGTAGAGTGACCGCAGTGAAACAATGACGTCTCGATCGGATGCAGGCGTATTCCGAGGTTTAGGATACGTTAATTGTGTTGATCAAGTCGCAGTCGTGAGAAATGGTAGACCTAGAAGGAGATTTTGCGAAGTGCCATTGAGTTGGATATCTTAAGTGCAACGCGTGCTAACAGAGACATAGGGCACGTGAAAGTACAACCCACGTACGTTAACCGGTCCTTTAACTATGCGGTGCATGAAACCTTTCAGGACGAACATCCTCCTCGATAAAGATAGGCACTCGTCGGAAAAGATTGTATGGCAAAAAACGGGTGGTAAAATTTTAAAAAACGACTGTTTAAGTTGCAATGTCAGTTTGACGACGCTAATGAATGTAAAGCATTCGCAATGGAATGGCACCCAGCTGAGCGCCTCAGTAGCATTCCAGGCAGTGTACAACCCGTGCAAAGCACTGGCATACTGTCGGTAAATTCTCCACTGAAACGGCTGTTTTGTGGAGCTTAAGGTTCGAAAATCAATGAAGGATATGGAAAGGTTGAATAAACTTCACTCACTTTCGTCACACAGTCCGAGAGACAGATGTAGACAAATTGTCGACAATCTGAGTTGTCTTCCAGCGCTTGTAGCCCCACACTACGAAGCATATGAATTGAGCCCATAATACACTTTCCCAATGGCTGATTCCGAAGACATGGAATATCCCATTGATCGGTGTACACTCGGGACTGAAGGCAATTGAATTCGGCGGTGGAAAATTCTATGCACAAGTCATGACCAACAATCGGAGGTCTTTCTTCGACAGTCAAATAGGGTCCTCCGATTTGTGACACATCCGAACCAGGTGAAGGGCAGCTTTGGTCAACGGTAGCGATAGTACTCTTAAACAAAACAAGCAAAAGAGAATGAACAAGTTGTTGATTTCTTACAAACGCAAAGAACAGCAGCAATGGAACAGAAATATTGTGAAAACGTTAAAAATGTAATAGCTAACGTCTGAGACCCAAGTTCCGAAAGAGTAAAAATACCTGGAGATATGTGGTATTACGGGGATATTTAAATGGTGACGTTCTGATACACATTGAAATGCTGTGTAGATAGAAGAGGATACAAAGTTACGTGCATTTGTGACTAAAGAGAATACGTCACGCTAGGTGAGGGCATTATGCATACATCGTCTGTGGAAGACAAAAGGCTGCCAAAGAATCTGCATCCTGGAACTAAAGCAGTAGATGTTGAATTAGAAATTTGAACTGGTGGTGAGATCAGCAGCACACCAGTGTGCTACGGAAGGAAGCTTCGCTGTCATGTCACCATAAGCGGTTGTCCGCGGAATGGGATACCGAAAGCGTGTCGAAACCGATACATCGAGAAGAAGACAATGTTGCAGTGAAGTGCCGAAAGTGGACACAGCACAGAGTGCCTAGACATGGGATATAGTTCAAGGAATCGAGATGCGTGAGGGTTACTAGGAAGTAAATTGCGACCCGATTTCGAGACCACATGTGGAAACGAAACAGGTAACCATGTATCCGTAGGTACCAAACCAAACAAGAGAACCTGAGACTCATTACAATGCAAATAAAGTGAGCCACAGGAAAGACAGTAAATGCAGTGTTGCTGCATAGCCCCGTGAAAATCCACCGTTAGCTCATCAGTTGCTGTTGCCTCCACTAACAATGAGTGGACAAACCTCGTTTGGCACCACTTTTCCGATAAATTGATAGGATAAATGATGCATCGGAAGATCGCTCATCAAGATACGGACCAATAGGGGTTATCAGGCAGGTAGGATTCGAAAGAAAGCGAGAACTGCAAGTGCATAAAGTGATCAACGACTACAACGAACACCAACACTGCGTCGCGGTGCACCAGACAGGACAGGAGAGATTTGAGGAAAAATCTAGAGGAGTAGAGGAGCAGCCCAACGAAGGGCAAAGTGAACCATATCGGAAACTACGGCCAGCACTGTAGATTATGGGAAAGGTAAAACTGTGATGCAGCAAGTGTGGCAAAAGGAAACGCTAATGTTAGGCGATTGGACACCCTATCATATGGCATGCCTGGGAAAGGTTTCCAAGGCCTGTGAGTACACATGACAAAACGCGATTGCGCTGCAGCTACGTGATCTGGGAGCTAATTTACAGCCTCTAATGTAAACTCGTCACTATCGTTATCAACAATTGATAATGTTTGTGCCCTTTGTACTGACCAAACGCGGATTATGCTGACTTTATTGATGGTAGATGGCTGAGTAAGGAAACCGAGCTGAATGAAAGTGCTGTCGCTAAGCTGTAAAAGATTGAAGAAGTCCGGTTTCAAACAAAACAAACACTTCCCATTTATATTAAAGAATTGACCTAAGCTATCAGGATCTTAATAGCCAAAGAGAAAAGATGGGGGTGAACATGCATGTCGTAACCAGTAGCAATAGCAGAGAAGCTGCACGTTGTATCCATGTGAGCGAGACAACTCCATTCATAAATATATGGAAAAACGTGAAGTACCTACTGTAAATATATGTTCGACATGCTTACTCCATGGGAACAGCCCGAAAGACCCTAAATTATTGGCCATCGCTTCATACGACACAATCATAATATTTAGATCATACCGAGACCTAATATTTCAAAAAGGGCAATTACAGAAAGGATCTGGTCTCACCAAAGCAAATATCCCTTTAGAGGAGACTTAAGTGGCACTTGTCCTGTGTATTAGTGCAGAGAAAATAATTTCGCCAATATGACAATGCGGCAGCTGGAATACAGTATAATTCCCGCTGCGTTTTGGAAGTTCGCCGTATTGGAGGTTTGGGTTAAGGACCCGAGTCGTTCTCTCGTCCAGACGTGCGTACCGCGGAAGTACAAATAGCCAGAAAACTGTGCCGAAAAACGCAAGCAGCACGAATAATTGGGGATTCGGGAATGACTAAGTTAATTGCATTAGGTTGGGTAATCGAAAAATACCGCAGTTGCTTTCGCATCTGTTCTTTATTTTTCATCCGACTCCTGATTCACATAATCTCTCTACCCAGCCCCGCCTCCCCACCAATGTAGCTAGCCTGTCGAATGCAAAATGCAACCGTGGAATGCGCTAAAGTGCACACACTACTGCATTGCAATGCGGCGAGGCGCTTGGCTGCCATGGAATTCGGTCACTAGGATTCTATCAATGGAGCACTAAACGAAACGTGGGAATGTGACTGCATCGCTACGTGAATCACCTGAGTAGACATCAACCGAAAAGGCCAAGTAGCATCACTCCGTGATTGATGTCAATTTACATGTGTTCAATGCCTAGAAGAGACGAAAAATAGGTTGACTTCCTGATGTAAGGGGTCATTTGGAAGCACCCATTGTGTGAATCAATTGCAACGTGCAATCTCAAGGTGGACTGTGATTCGTATTGAGGTGGTCCTTGGTCAATTCGACCACTGGGATCGTAAATGATAAATCAGATGGAACTTGGAGTTTGCTCACCTGAAACAGCGCACTTCACGACCGGTTCAGAACTTATGTGAACTCGTCAGAGAGAGAGATACGAGGCACTCGAATCGGGGCTATAGGTAACATCCCAAAGGCCTCGGAGTTGAAGTGCTTATTATTCCTAACTGACAGGTGAACACAAGTTTGATACTAATCGTGGAGTGCAGTCCTTGCAGGAGGTAGCACTCAAAATGTATCCACTTTTACTTCCGTTCGTTCTCAGTGACACTGCTCATGCCAAAGGGTGAGTTCCATGAGTATGGGACGCATTCTGGAAATATGACACTGACTTGGTAAATGCAAGTGGCAACCGTTTTTCCTACTGCGTGTCACTCATACTCTGCTGACTGCTGATACTCCTTCCCACCTGCAGGCCAGTGATGTTACCACATGAACGTAAGCACGGAAGGGCCATGTTCATCCGCTCGAGTATGTCATCGCGCCTCAGCGTGACACATGTACCGTGAGAGACTGAGCGCCGAACGCATCACAAATTTGGAACCAACAGTTTGCGCATATTTTTGATAACAGCAACACTGACCCTCTACTCATTCGTAATAGCACAAAGCAATATAATCCTGATGTGAGTTGCAATGCGGTCTCGCAAGCTACATTGCCAAAAGCTGGGTACAGGCGAAATCCTCCGCATGACCTATCGTCGACAGATTGTGCACGCCGGTGCGGAAAATAACTAACTCTGCCAAGTTATTTTAGAAATCTGAAGGAAAGCCACCGCTCTTACCGTGAATCCTAATGGTCAAAAGGAGTCAGAGATGAAAGCCAGTGACTGGGTCGGAAACTGCCGCAGTTGGTTTTACCTCAGCAAGGCCATCGGTTGAAATTCACAGACTACCTGTCAATCAATCAGTGAACTGAATGGTGCGAAAATCCCGAACCTACACGGAGAGTCCTACAAAGGTAAAGATGCGCAGCGCAATCCAACCTTTAGAAAGTCATAAAGCTCCCGGTCCTGACCATCGGCGCTATTCAACAATGGGTGGATGCACATGTCACATGCACGAATGTTTGGAATGATGAGAAATTGCTCGCCCCGATCCACTAGAAAAACTCATGTGAAGCTTGCGCCAACTAAAATGAAACTTCGTTGACCCTGGTTGCCTCGAACATCTTCGTGTACGTCCTAGTTCGAAAGCTGTAAGCGACTAAAGAAAGTTTTTAGTCGGGCTCCACGGCATCTCGATGTCCGGATAATCGCTGATCAGCTCAGCTGAAATGAACCAATTTTTCGATTTGTCAGTCGTCACCTGGGCTCATATTTAGCAATTCAGTGATGTCATCACGAACCGATCAACTAGCTGCTAAGAATAAACCTGAAGCGCAGACTTGATTAGTCTCAATTGTGTCATGAAGAAGCTTTCCGTAAACTACTGTTTGCAAAAGTTTATGTCTTGAGTTGTGGCGAGATTTCTGTAGACGAAAAAGTCTGGCTGGAACAAGTAAGCAGCTCGACCAAGTAACTAGGGTGTAGGTAACACCCTAAAACGATTGCTAACTGGAAAACTAATAATTCATCGGAAGCGTTGGTGAGTAGTTATGGCTCGTGAGATGGAGAACCAGAACGAGCATGAACTGATGAGTAATGACCCAGCTCATTCGGAACGTTAGTTAAAAAAGCTCGCAGCTAGTGTAACAGTAGCTCGGAAATATGTGCAGATAATTTGAGCTTATACAAGTCGATAAAATATTCGGGTAGAGAATTGCGAAGGGCAGATAGCGATTGTAGAGTGCTATATTTCCAATTGTACCCTCCTATTCTCCTTTCTATTATTTATTGTGCAGTTTTTATTAACTGAACAAAAACCGATAAACACTTCTTTGAATTTCGATTCGCATTCTGGTTCAAGCTACGCGGTTGCGCCGTCGATCATCGGTCTGCTTGCCTTGGTGATCGATCATCGGATCTACCGCGCCAAATTATTGTACTGAGGAAAGACTACACTTCTGAACCGGACTGAGACTAAGTAACAACCTACCGAGAATTGTGCTTTACCGGAGGTCGGGCATAGCATTCTTACTTCATGGACTGAAAGTTCTTGTATGTAGTTAAGCCATTTGAGTTTGGTTTTCCCACTACATATTTGCTGAGCTCGTTCCCTTTTCTCTGAAACTCAGCATTCCATTATTTGCGCAATTGCAATGTCGGACCTGGTTGCCCGGTCTTTCGTAGCCTGCCTTCGATTCATGCAATCCTTATGCGTAGTTTTACAATCAGAATCCGTTTTGCGTATACATCGCAGTACTTCGCGGTCACTGATGTTCGCACAAGTTACTGCCCAGCTTATTACCCACATCGCAACAGACCTCATAGATCTGCTCCATCCGATTCCTGCTGGTGTGCTTTACGATAAGCCAAAAGCCGCCGTTTTAAAGAGAAA